TTCCCGTAGCTGACCCGACAGGAACTGTAACGCTCCACTGTCGGGACCTACGAAGCTTCCGAGCAAACGCACACCATCCTGGGAGAATGGGACGCCCTGAGGCAGCTGAGCCGTCACCGCTACCTCCCTGCTCCAGGCCGCGCATTTCTGCGCGTTGTGTCTCAGGCCCAGGTGCGCCAGCCTCTCGGTGAAGTGGTTGAATGCGGCTACAGTGTCCGCCGCCTCCCCCAGGAATGTAACATCGTCGGCGTAAGCCAGACAAAGCACATGGGGATGTGCCTCAGCAATGTCGCGGAGTGCTGGGTGCATTCCCGCGGCAAACAGTAGAGGGCCAAGTGGGTCCCCTTGACGCACGCCCCGTTCGCTGATCAGCGGATCACTTTCGAAATTTGCGTCGAGATGCAACTTTGACGGGTTACCGTACGTCAGTTTCACTAGCGGCACAATTGGCGATAGCCCAGGTTCCTGTAACGCTGTCGCGATAGCTTGTCGGGATATGCTGTTGAATGCATTCGAGATATCGGTCTGCAGCACCAGGCTGTTGGGTAGCTTGTCCAGATACGCCCGCGCCACGTGGATAACTGCCTCGGCTCCTCCTAGCTACCCCGTACTGTAGAGGCAGGAAATAGGCACGTGCAGCATCGCCCATGGCTGCGAGGGCTGCCTTGGCTGTCAGCCGGGTGATGCATTCGCCAATGGCGATTGGTCGAGCTCCACCGCCGGGTTTGGCCAGGGCTATGAGTCGCGAGGCTGTCAGTAGGTCCGCCACCGGTGCTGGTAGGTTGCCCCCCAAAATAGTGTTTATCAATGCGTGCAGATGGGTGCTGACTCGTCCATCCGTGATTGCCGCGTCACGCATGTGCTCGAACGTTGTTCCCGAAGGTCCGGCACCGACCCCATTCTCGCACCTCCCCAGCAGTTTTGCGAAGTCAGCGTGGGTGATGGTCAATTTTGTCTCTGGTGTGGGTGGCCACGTCGTCTGTTCTGTTTCGGCTGGCGGGTGTTTCCGTCGGAGCTCCTCCAGTATTTCTGGAGTTGGTTTGCAGATTGGCGTTGACTCCAGCGCCAACACGGCTCGGCACAGGCTGCCACGTTTAGCCAGGCCCTCGGCTCGGCTAATGACCCCGGTAGCATCGGGCTGATGACATGGTGGCGCGGGTGTATTGACTGCTTCAATCGCGTCCCTGTACAGTTGGTTCCACTCGCCACGCTGGAAGGCCCGGAGCCGATCCTTGATCTGGGGCCAGTTCGGTTTCCGTGGCGAGTTTTGGCGAAGCGTCAGACGTGGCAGAAAGAGGAGAAGGCGCCAACCAGCCTCTGATTCCGGGTTTCGGGATAGGTGAAGTAACGGGGTCATTAGCGCCGGCGAAAACAACTGGCACAAGTTTGGCGGTAACCGCCGTGCCAGGGATGGCTGTCGACTGTCGCAGAGGGCTGGGATATCCCAGTTTGCGATGTCTGCGAACCCGTCTGCCCGCATCGCGAGCTCCTCTGGCGTGAAATAGCGAGGGAGATTGGGATTTCCTCGCGCCGCTGCCGCCTCCGTCGCGGCCCGATTTCGCCTGGTGCGGCCCGTCCTCGCTTGTGAAGGTGCGGTTGGAGTTTCGCCCGTACGATCACCATCGGACGGTCCACCCGCAGTGTCCCTTTGCTCGCCAAGGGTCTGCCTTGGTCTCGCTCCCGTCCTCCTCCCGTTCTCCCGTACTCCTTCCTCTCCTTCCGTCCCTTCATCTTCGCTCGAGGGCATTGGCTCCTCCCTATAAGAGGGGTCATTTTCTTCCTCGTCATTACGTAGCCTGTTTAAAGCCCTTCTGGCCTCCGTCTGATAGCCGTTCTCCGGCCCTCCTCCCTGTCCGCTAGCTGCTCCTCGCCCTCCGCCGCGCGCTCCCCGGCCTCGCGATGGTGATTGCTGGAGTGACCGTTTACTCGCCAATGCGCGCTGGCGCTGCGTCGGTTGTGCTCGAAAGGCCGTCGTCTGCCTCAGGAGCGGGGGCCGTTGCGACGGGGTCCCCGCCGCAGTCCCCTCCGACGCCCTTGACAATAGCCGCTGGAAAGACTCCTCCCCTCGAATCCGAAGGTCCTCTTGGCGCGAACGGGGTTGCGTCGTCTGCGCCGGTCTCTCTCTCTCTCTAATGGTCCGTATATTGATAAGCCAGAAGGGTACACACATGCAATGAGAGACAGCAGGTACTATCATGCAAGGTAGCCTATATTATCCAAACCCCACTAAGTCACCTAGAGCTCAAGAAGAGGCTCTAGGACGGTAAAGCAGTCCCCTAGGTACAATTCTTGCCCTATCCCTCCTACAGGCGGGTTCTCTGCAGCCGCCACCTCTCCTAACTTGATCATGAGTCCCACGGATTGGGCCCTCTGCAGTGCAACCGACCACCTCTGCCTGAACTGGTGCAGGAACTTCGCGGCATGATAGGATTTGGAGTCGGCGTTGAAGTATCGCCGAGCCGCCGTGTCTGCAAGGAGTTTCAGGAACACAGGGACCTCCGCACAAGGGCAGCCGTAGGTCTCCACGGCGAGGGGGAAGAAGCCCACTGTCTCTGGCAGGTTCTCATAGTGCTTGATCTTCTTATCCGCCTGCTCCCGGGCCGCCCATCCCCTGCCTTTCTTGGCCTCCGGGTCCCTGGTACTAATAGGGTCTGTAACTGTCACATCACACACCCAAACTGCTTCACTGCTTCTGTCTGTCATGGTGAAATCCGCTGTCTGCTCCTCTATGGGGCAGTAAACATTTGTTTCCCGGTGCACGATGAACCCCGCGTCTTGCGCCATGCTGATGCAAGCGTCGCGAAGCTCATTATGAGTATTCGTGCGGTGCTTCCCCGTGCCACAGCGGAAGAGGTGGTTGGGGAGGCGCGGGTCTGTGATAGCGGTGCGGTCTGCACAGTCACAATTCTTCGGGGTGGAGAAAGGGAGGCCTAACCGGAAGCGCACGGCGTTGCTGAAGTGTACCGGGCCGATGCGACGTGAGGAAGCTACCGGGACCGCCGTCAGCCAGTCCCCTGTGCCGTAGCCTGTGAGTGAGAACATTCTCTGTGTGTGCCCAGAGAGTGGATTCAGTCTCTTTCGCCTCGTATCTTCGACCTGAACCGCGTATCTACTCCCCTGTACTTTCAGGCCCAGTGTGTGCTGGAGCTTGATGTCCGACCGAGAGAGCCGCTCCTGGTCAACTACGTCGCGTGCGTCTGAGGGTAGGGCTGTCTCGCACTCTGTGAGCCAGGAGTGAAGCGGTGTGGTGCTGTCTCGGGGCAGAATCATGTGGCTGTGTGCTCGGGTCAGTGCTGTGTCTGGCGCTAGCGTCAGGGAGGAAAAGAAGAGTGCGGCCTGTGTGAAGCTGGCTACGAATCCGTAGACCCCTTCTACGAGTGGGTCTGTCAGTCCTAAGCCGCCCAGGGATGAGGGAAGCGAAGCCTGCGCCCACACTCTCGACTGCTCCGTGCTACAGGTAGGGACTTTAATCCCGCAGGATGTCAGGAGCGCTGCTAGAAGGTCTCTCCCCCACTGCGCCCAGGTGTCTCGTGGCAGGAGATTCAGTGGCGTGGTCCTAGTGAGGTATGCTACGCGTCTAGAAATGCAGCGGGTCAGTAGCAGGGAGGCTACTTGGGGGTCGGCACGTTCTAACAGTGGCAGCGGCTTAGCCATTTCCTCCAGCTGCCCTGCCAGGAATTTTGCCGCACCCGCTGCTGGCCCCAGGAAGCTACCTAGAAGGCGTATCCCATCCTGTGATAACGGGACCCCTGGCGGCAGCTGAATAGGCTCGTCGCCTCCTGTGCTCCATGCCACACATTTCTGTGGATTATGTGTGAGACCCAGCTGCGCTAACTTGCTCGTGAATAAGTTGAATGCTGCTACAGTGTCTGAGTCATCCCCCAAAAATGTCACGTCGTCTGCATACGCCAAGCAGAGAACGTGGGGGTGTGCAGCTGCAGTTTCGCGAAGTGCTGGGTGGATCCCTGCTGCGAACAGTAGAGGGCCGAGTGGGTCCCCCTGTCTCACCCCGCGTTCACTGTTCAGCGGGTGGCTGGCGAAATTTCAGTCGAGGTACAGCTTCGACGGGTTACCGTACGTTAGCCGCACTAGAGGGAGCAGTGACGAAAGGTTGCTGTCGCAAATCCCGTTGATGATTGCTTGTCGCGAAATGCTATTAAAGGCATTTGAAATGTCGGTCTGTAACACCACGCAGCGGTCCCTCGAGTCAACGAAGGCACGTGCGACATGGATGTTCGCTTCAGCTCCCCCAGGTACCGCCACCCCGTACTACAGAGGCAGGAAATGGTCACGTGCAGCTTCCCCAATTGCAGTCAGAGCTGCCTTGGCCGCGAGGCGCGTCAGGCACTCGCCAATTGCAATTGGCCGAACCCCCCCACCTGGCTTGGACAGCGCGATTAGGCGCGACGCCGTCAGCAGGTCTGCAACTGGCTCGGGTAATTTGCCCGTCAGGATAGTGTTGACTAGGGCATGCAGGTGGGTGCAGACCGATGCGTTGGTTGCCGATGCGTCGCGAAGGTGTTCGAAAGCGGTTCCGGACGGTCCAGTCCCCACCCCAAGCAGTCATGCATTAATAGTAAACCAAAGGTACAAGCAGGGCACGTAAAGATGGATGGTCATAGTCTCAAGACCCTACACTAGCAATGCATCTCAAGCTAGACGGGTACTCATGGGGAGCAAAACAAGCAGGCGGTGTAGGTGCGCCGTGTGAGTACAGCCCCTCAATACCGGATAGACAAGCAGGGCGATAAAGAACCAGATCCCTGGTCAGCGTAGCCCTACCATTCCCTCCGCTCTGAGTCACAACCCCACCGGGCCCCTCTATCTCTGTCGCTCCCCCTGCTCTCCATCCGCTAAGAGAAAACACCACTACCCTGGACAGACCCCCATCCCGCCCCTTCCTTGTACCCTTCCCCTTTCCACAGGGCTGCCCATTCATCTTATCCGCCTTAAGCCCTCAGCTCCACTGAGCCACCCCCCCATTTCCCACCCCCAGCCCCTTAGGCCGCCCTGGCTGGGGCGTGCCGCTCCTCGTACTCACCCTCCAGAGTCTGCCAGAGGTCCCCCAGGCGGGGTGCCCATGGGTCAGCCGCCGTCTGTGGGAAGGCCGCCTCTGCTGCTCGGTTAGACTTGGAGAGGAGGGAGATCGCCTGACTGCGCTGGAGCATCACAGACCACTGCTGCCTGAAGTGTGCATTTAGACGGGCTGCGGTGGTGGTGAGGCGTCCCTGCCGGTATTTCTTCTTGGCCGCATGTGTAGCAAGCATTCGGAGGAACTGCACCGTGTCCTTGGCCATGGCTCCGTACGTCTCTACCGCCAGCCCAAAGAAACCGGCATAGCTAGGCCGGCCCTCGTAGAGCCTGTGTTTCCCCTCTGATGCTTCCTCTGCCGCCCACCCCGGCGGCTTGCGCGCCCTTGTATCCCGGCGTTGTAGAACTGGATCTGTGACCGTGACATCCGTCACCCATGTTTCCCCCGACTCCTGATCTCGGATTGCTAGGTCCGCGCGCTTGCGGAGGACCGATGGGGAGAAAGCTGCTGATTCATGGAAAATCTTGTATCCTGCACCAGTGGCCATCCGTACAGCTGCATAAACCAGGGCATTGTGAGTCCTCACGGCATCCCCCCCATCCCCACACCGCAGCAGATGGTTCGGGAGACTTTTGTCAGAGATGCTTGAGTTATCTCGCTTGCAGGGGCACACCTCAGCGACCGGCAGCTCCATCCCCAGCCGCAGGCCAAGAGCCAACGAGAACTGACCGGGTGAGAGTGTAAGGTCACCCCTCGTTGGTATGGCGTGGAGCCAGTCCCCAGCCCTCTCCCCCTTGAGACTTATGAGGCGGATAGCATGGCCCCTATCCACCCCCGGCCGGTCCTGAAGTGTGTCTGCTAGCAGCTCCACTGCCCGCCGCTGGTTGATGGCCTTGGAGATTCCTAGCTGAAGGTTCCCCGAGCCCGTCGCCCCCCACCTGAACTGTGCTAGGGTGGCTCGAGCCTCCGTGGGAAGGCCTTCCTCCACGGCCGCTCTGGGGTTGGTTCCTGGCGGTTGGGGGGTCCAGTCGTGGGAGAGCAGCAGTAGCGCCCGGCTGAGGAGGCAGTCCGCCAGCAGGTCCAGGTTAGACAGGAGTGTAAGCGCCGCTGTGACGGAGGCCAGGTAGGCCGCAGGTGCTTCAGAGGTGGGGTCGATCACCCCTAGGCCCCCCATTCGGATGGGGAGCATTCCTTGTCGCCACAGCAGGCTCCGTTCCAGCTCAGACGTGGGTATCCTCAGTTTTGCAGCCGTGAGGGCCGAGCCGAGCAGAGCCTCACTCCACTCCCTCCATTCCCTCGTGCTGAGAGTTGACGCCGGCGCGGTCCGCAGCAGGTAAGAGATCCGCCGGGAGATGCTTCGTGAAACCATGAGCAGGGCGTGCTGCGGGTGTAGCTGTGAGATGAGCAGGAGTGGTGAAGCCGCGTCGGCCAGTGCTGCCCGGACCTGGTCTGTGCAGAAGTCATCACTCCCAACTGGGCTGCCCAGCACTTTAATCCCTCCTCCGTTCATGGTCAGGCCGAGTGGTAGCCCCTCCCCCTGTGCGTCCACATTCCTTCCCCAAGCCGACGATTTGACCACGTTGCAGCTGAGACCGCCTGTTTCCAACGCTTTGGCGATCGTCTTGAAGGCGACGCAGGCGGCTTCGTGCGGACCGACGATCGTGATGTCATCTACATAGGCGACCACCGCGACCTCAGGTAGGGACGCGGCGACACTCAGTAAAGCAGGCTGGATCGCTGCTGCGAACAGAAGCGGGCCCAAGGGGTCGCCCTGGCGGACACCGCAAGAGCTAACGATATGGTCGGTGCCAAAACGGTGGTCTACTAGGAGACGCGACGGGCCGTCGTAGAGGTTTCGCACTAGTGGTAGCAGGGGGCTAAGGGTAGACCACTGGAGTGCTTCGAAGAAGGCTTTGCGCTCAACACTGTTGAACGCGTTCTCTACGTCTAGCTGCAGCGCGATCCGCGACTCGTCTTCCTGGAGCAGTGCTCTGACAGAGTGAATGATACACTCCGCACCTCCCGGAACAGACACACCGAATTGGACCGGGAGGAAGAACTCGCGGACTTTGGGACCGAGCGCGTGAAGGGCCGCTTTTGTTACGACGCGAAGTAGTGTTTCGCCTATTGCGATCGGCCGCACTCCCCCTCCCGGTTTCTCCAGGGCTATCAGACGGGAAGGGAGGACGAGGTCGCGGAACTCTCTTGTCTGGAAGGTACTAAGGAGATTGTTGACGCTTTTAGCTAGTAGGATCATAATTTCCTCGTTGGCGAGGGCTGGATCCTTCAGGTGTTCGAAGCACATTCCCGATGGACCCCCACCCACTCCGTTTGGGAATTTCGCCAGGACTTCGCGCAGGGTATCGATCGGGACGGCGAGCTCGGATGTTGTGATCCCTGTTACCCAAGCTGGCAGGTCTGTTTCGGCCGGTGGGTGTTTCGCTTGGAGGGCTGCGAGTGTGCCGAAGATGGGGCTGCGAGAGGGCTGGTTCGTAACGCGTTGACCGCCTTGGAAATGTTGCCTTTCTTCATCAAACCTTCCGCGCGTGCACACACCCCTTCATCGTCCGGCTGGTGTCTTACTGGAGCCCCGCTAGCGGGGATGAGTCCCGCTTCCTCGAAAAGCTCCTCAAATTTCCCTTGCTGAAAATGATGCAAACGAGCCTCAATCTTAGCCCAGCGGCTACCAGCAACCGGTTCGGGCGAGGGTCGCAATGTCAGCCAGGCAGGAAAAGAAGAACCTTCCAGGCACCCGGGCAGGTAGGGAACTTCTCAAGCCTCACTAGTGGTGCCAGCATGCAGAGACAGTAGCGGTCCAAGATTTGGGGAGGCATGCGCCGGACAAGGAAAGGCTGGTCCCCACGCTGCAGCTGACTCACATCCCAACCCCCCGCCAATTGCCAGATGGCCTCCTCCTTAGCCAGATCAGCAGGTGAGAAGACATCTGTTCCCTCCGTTGCTCCACCTGGGTCACCAGTGGGATGGCCTCCCTGCGTGGTTGTGCCTGTCGCTCGTCCTCTCATGTTGCGTGCGTTCCTGTCCACCCCTGTCTCCTCATCCAACGACACGTCCTCAGACTCGGCATCTTCTCCACCCATAAACTCAGGGTCTGAGATGTTGTTCTCAGATTCCGCTGCCTCCTCATTCGTCGGTTGCACCGTCGCTTCTGGCCTGTCATGGCGTTCCCGCCAGGTCCCTACCCGCTCAGGGATCTCGACTCCCCCGACCAACGCTCTCCCCCCTCCGCGTCCGCGTCCGCGCGCACGCGTTGCTCCCCCCCCCTCGCTGAGCCCGGCCCGTGCTTGACGGCGCTCCCATCGTGTTGCCCTGGCCTCCTCTCCCCGCCGGCATCCACGGTGTCCGGCCACCTCTAGGCGGTCCCCAAGTTATCGCGGCACGGCGTGTCACGTGGCGAGTGTTCTGCGCTACCGAGTCCGTGGCGTTCGCCGCCGCCTCTGCAGGAGCCCCCGTTGCCACACTTGCTCCAGCAGCCGTCCGGTGGTTTCCCGCGCCAGCCTCCCCCAGGGCTTCTTGTTGGCCCCTTGATGACGTCAAACGCGCTTGCCCTCGTGGCATCTGCCCTTGCCGCAGCCAGCCCAGGAGGGGTCCCAGGGAGCCAGGTCCCAGCCCTGCTCCAAGCCGCCTCGGTGCTGGCTGGGCTCGAAGGGACTTCCTCGCCACCCTCTCGCGGGAAGGCGAAGGCTCGCCGCCGATCGCGCACCTCGATCTACCATCCACCCGCTGGCCATGCTCCGGCGTGTTTGCGTCCGCGGCAGCAGCAGGCGTTTCGAAGGACAAGCCACCAGCCCGCACGGAAACACCGTCCCAACCCGCGTCCCGTCGGCCCGCCGCTGCAGACACCGCCGCAGCCACCTCCGCCGAACCGACCGGTGCCGGGGAGTCAGCCAGCTCTGGAGCCGGTGGTTCAGCCCCTACCGCCGGTGTTGTCCGAACCTCTTCCGCAGCCGGACTCTGCTGTACCGGAGTCGACTGGTTCTGGTGCGCGGCGGAGGGGAGCGGGACTGAGTCGTCGTCAGAGGCGGCGTCTGGCACTGCAACAGACACTCCCGCAGCCAACCCAGCCGCCACAGGCGCCGCCTGCCCCAAACCCGTCAACTCCCGCCCAACAGCAGCGGCAGCTCCCGCCGGTGGCGCAGCCCCAAAACCGACAGCAGCAGCAGGTGCGGCCGAACCTGTTTCCACTTCCCCAGCCCCAGCAGCCTCCGCCTCAGCCTCCCCCGTTGCCATTACATCCACCCGCCCCTCCTGTTGCTGCTCCTGTGGCTCCGCTGCCCCCCCTCGTCGAGCAGCGCGTTGTGCACGTGGGGACGTGTCTGACGCTGCTGTCGTACGTGCTTGACCAGCTCCACGTGTGTGTGGCACGCCAGGGTGTCGAGGTCGGGGGGATGTTGCCGTCCGAGCGAGCGGCCGCCGTGGCTGCAGCGCAGGAGATGCTGCGATACCTCCCCTTGATCGGCCTTGTGCCGGCTGCTCCTGGGGCTGCGCTCGGCCCCGGCCCTGGCGCGGTGATGAGGCTCGCCAAGTCCGCCCAGGGTGCCCCACTTGGCCTTGTATCAGCAGCCGCATCCGTCCTGCGCTGGATGGACGGGAGGCTTTGCTGGATACTCGCAGAGTAGCAGTTGTCTTCCCCTTGGCGGCCCCTGAAGTTTTGGGCCTTGCCTTGGGCTTCCCCATGGCGGGACGTTCTCGCCTGGACGTTCTAGCCTTGCCTTGCTAGGGGCCCTTGCTGTACCCCATGCAAAGCTCAAGAAGAGGCTCTAGACAGTAAAACAGTCCCCTAGGTATAATTCTTGCCCTATCCCCCCCACAGGCGGGTGCTCTACAGCGGCCGCCTCTCCTAACTTGATCATAAGACCCACGGATTGGGCCCTCTGCAGTGCAACCGACCACCTCTGCCTGAACTGGTGCAGGAACTTCGCGGCATGATAGGATTTGGAGTCGGCGTTGAAGTATCGCCGAGCCGCCGTGTCTGCAAGGAGTTTTAGGAACACAGGGACCTCAGCACAGGGGCAGCCGTAGGTCTCCACTGCAAGGGGGAAGAAGCCCACCATCTCTGGCAGGGTTTCATAGTGCTTGATCTTCTTGTCTGCCTGCTCCCGGGCTGCCCATCCCCTGCCTTTCTGTGCCTCTGGGTCCCTAATGCTAATAGGGTCTGTAACCGTCACATCACACACCCAAACCGCCCCACTGCTCCTGTCTGTCATGGTAAAGTCGGCTGTCTGCTCCTCTATGGGGCAGTACACGTTTGTTTCCTTGTGTACTATGAACCCCGCGTCTTGCGCCATGCTGATGCATGCGTCGCGGAGCTCATTATGAGTATTCGTACGGTGCTTCCCCGTGCCGCAGCGGAAGAGGTGGTTGGGGAGGCGCGGGTCTGTAATAGCGGTGTGTTCTGCACAATCACAGTTCTTCGGAGTAGAGAAAGGGAGGCCCAGCCGGAAGCGCACGGCGTTGCTGAAGTGTACCGGGCCGATGCGCCGTGAGGAAGCTACCGGTACCGCTATCAGCCAGTCCCCTGTGCCGTAGCCTGTGAGTGAGAACATTCTCTGTGTGTGCCCGGAGAGTGGATTCAGTCTCATTCGCCTCGTCTCTTGGACCTGTACCGCGTACCTACTCCCCTGTACTTTGAGGGCCAGTGTGTGCTGGAGCTTGATGTCCGACCGAGAGAGCCGCTCCTGGTCAACTACGTCGCGTGCGTCTGAGGGTAGGGCTGTCTCGCACTCTGTGAGCCAGGAATGAAGCGGTGTGGTGGTATCTCGGGGCAGAATCATGTGGCTGTGTGCTCGGGTCAGTGCCGTATCTGGTGCTAGCGTCAGGGAGGAAAAGAAGAGTGCGGCCTGAGTGAAGCTGGCTACGAAGCCGTATACCCCCTCTACGAGTGGGTCCGTAATTCCTAGGCCGCCCAGGGATGATGGAAGCGATGCCTGCGCCCACACTCTTGTCTGCTCCGTGCTACAGGTGGGAACTTTAATCCCGCAGGATGTCAGGAGCGCGGCTAGGAGGTCTCTCCCCCACTGTGCCCAGGTGTCTCGTGGGAGAAGGTTCAGCGGTGTAGTCCTAGTGAGGTATGCTACGCGTCTGGAGATGCAGCGGGTCAGGAGCAGGGAGGCAACTTGGGGGTCGGCACGTTCTAAGAGCGGCAGCAACTTCGCCATTTCGTCTAACTGCCCCGCCAGGAATTTGGCCGCACCAGTCGCTGGCCCCAAGAAGCTGCCCAGTAGGCGTATCCCGTCCTTTGTAAACGGGACCCCTGGTGGCAGCTGCGTTGACTCGTCGCCGCTTGTGCTCCATGCTGCACATTTCTGTGGGTTATGTTTGAGCCCCAGCTGCGCTAGCTTGCTCGTGAAGAAATTGAATGCTGCTACAGTGTCTGTGTCGTCCCCCAAAAATGTCACGTCGTCTGCATACGCCAAGCAGAGAAAGTGGGGGTGCATGTCGGCAGTTTCGCGAAGGGCTGGGTGAATCCCTGCTGCGAACAGTAGAGGGCCG